GAGATATGACAGGAATAATATAAAGAAGAAGTTGAAGACTGCATTGTAACTGATTAAGAAAGTGGAACTTAGTGGGTCATCTGAAACTAACAGGTTCCATGTTGAAAAAGAAAACTTTTAAAACTATCTTGTTGTATATAAAGCAAATATTCCCAACCAGTAAGCAAGGACTGAGGGCAGCAGATTCTTTTCTAATGTTACCTGATATTAGATAATTATCTTCACGTAGCATTCATGCAGTGTCAGACCTTCATTAATCTGAATATCCTATGCCTTAAGAATAGTAGGAATTTATCCCTGGAATTTATCCCAATGCTAAGATACAGGTACTGGATAACTGAAGTAACCAGCACTGTCTTGTTTTCCTAGGTTTTTTTTTTCCCCTTCCTTTCAATCATGTTAAATTCTCAGAGACTGCCTGGACAGATTCCTACATTTTGCTTGGCGGGGTTTTTCAGAAATGGCTTGCAATTGCCTCCTTCCTAGGGCTGAGAGAAAGCGACTGGCCCAAGGTCACCCAGATGGCTTTATATCCAAAGAGGAACTAGAACTCACAGTCTCCCAGTTTCTAGCCTGATGCTTTAACTCCTACAATGAGCTGGCTCTCAAATAGGTATTACAGTCGTGCTTTCTCTAAAGGCATTTTGAACATGACAATGATGATGATGATGGTGGTGGTGATGACATGATGATGATAATGATATAATGATAATGATGATAGAGATTGGAAGCTCCTTAGGGAACTCAGAAGCAGAATATATTGTAGCCAGATTGTATGCCAAGTAAAAGAACAATCTTTCTGTAGTAATGGTATTCTTCACCAATATGTATATTCAAGAAATTGAGCTGTACTGAATAATCCATAAAGCAAAATTTGCTACATACTATATATATGTAATAGTATAGAAATTTGCAGTTAAAAAAAGTTTGTTTATAGTTGAGTTTGCTGATGAGGGATAAGTTACCCAATATTGTTTAGGCATATTTCTTGGTTTGGGTTTAGGGGATAATGGCTCCCAAAATGGAAACACTGCTGCAGTCCCATAATTGGCTTTGTAGTATTTATCCATTTATGGTGTTATGGTTAGAAAAAAAAAGAGGATTTATTTTTAGGATATCTCCTTCTATCCTTGTGGGCATGACAGAGACCAGTCACAATATATCTAGGGAAACTGTTGCCTTTCCAGAACAAAGTCTTACCAGAAAGAAAGTAAAACTACTTGGTTTAACAAAGGCAGAATGAAATTGACTTGATAGAGATTCAACCCCTTATAACTAAGGCAAACTTAATAAGGAAAATGTCAACAATGTAACCCTATAAAGCTATCTCTGAGGTGTGTTCTCCTGGTTTTATTTTAATGTGTATATATGTTAGATCTTGCTTTAGAATGATCTTATTGTGATTGGTATGGATATTTGGTATTGTGTGTGTTTGTGTGCATTGCATTGTGTCTATATGTGGGTGACCTTTGTTTTGTTTTTTGGTTGTAATGAGTAATTTCTGCATTTTGCATGGGATTGTACATGAGATAAGTGCATGTTTTGCCTGAAGGCTTGTATCTTGTGTAAGTTCTCTGAGCATCACCATTTGCCTTCTGAACAATGGGTGGGACAATACATTTATGGTAGCTTATGTGGTCAGACACATGTGATCGCTACTTTAGAAAAATGTGCTTTTGTTTTTTAACTCTGAAGCTCACATTTCCATTTTATTACCTTTTTGGACAAGTTGCTTTACCTTTGCCCTTTCAGTTTATTTTCTGGGAAAATGGGTTTGTGATTGGTCATGTCTACCATGGCATGTCTTCTTTCATCCATGTTATAGGAACACTCTAAACTTTCCTCTCTTACAAAATTTAATATCATCAATTTGCAAATTTGAGAAGAAAGGATAGCTGAACATCGCTGAGCTTCTATGACTGGAGGAAATGACCTATAATTTATTTGAGGAAGGGGGTGAAGTTTAACATTTGTTTTTTATTGCTTCTTTAGCAAGTAAATTAATTTATTTGCTTCTTTAGCAAGTAAATTAATTCTGAGATTTTCTAATTAAAAAAATTACTATCTGTACTTCTCCATTTCTTTTACAGATATGTCTTGAATCAGTAAAGGAGGTGACTGAACTATTATTCATTTCCATTTTTGCTTGTCCCAACAGCAAGCAAAACTTGCTATTTTTGCTGACATAACTGTAAATCTTCATTTGCACCTAGTTAAGTTTAATATGATTAACTTTGTATGCAATTATACTTTTAGTTGATGTCCAGATTTTGGCACTTTTGATCATGAAAAATGGACATTCCATCTGCCTATTGTTTTGCTTCCTAATTTCTATTGTAACTTCTCTTCTGAAGAAACAATCTAGGGAATTTGAAAGTTTGGTCATTATTTTAAGGAATTCTAGTTTTTTTTCTAAATGCTCCCTTTGTAAGTATAGTAATTGATTTTTTTTATCAGCAATACTGTATTTACTAAGATTATATTGGCCTTTAGTGGTTGTATATCTGCAGATGTATTTAAATGAAGAAATGTTTGAGAAAAAAAATTAAATCTAATAGCAAACTCATAAACCGAAGGAAAGCACACTACAAATCAAAATCTAGCCAATGGGTTTAATGCATATTTTAGTATAAGAATCAAACATTATGATTTTTATACATAAAGACCTATAGAAGTCTTTAGGGGTATATACAAGTAGCTCTCTTGCTTATGTCCATTCCTTCAGTGACTGTTCAGAATTATGGCAGTGCTGAAAAAATGGACATACTACAAGTCCTCAAAGATCCGGGTGTCACAACACCCATATTGTCACAAAATTATGATCCAGGTGCTTGAGTGCCTAGCTCATGATTATGATGTTGTAGTCAGTTGCAGTCACATGACTGCCTTTTGTGACCTTCTGTGCCAGCTTCCCACAAGCAAAGGTTGCAAATTGCCTTGGTCAATTGCTTCTGCAAGGTTTTCTCCTGCTGGTAGTACTCCTGCCTGTGAACAGCCTCTACCAGGCCTCCCAAGGTCTCCCCAGACCCACATGTAGATTTCGCTGGCCCTCCCAAAGTCTCCCCCGGTGTTCCCAGACTTCTATGTGCCCCCCCCAATTGTTTGGTATATCGAACTAGAACCTCAATCTGGCTCCCTAGCTAATTGGCAGCCAATGGGGTTTATATTAGAATCGATCAATCAATTAATTCTAAGGTGACCAACCGTCCTCCTTTAGGGAGGACAGTCCTCCTTTTGTAAGTTCTGTCCTCCCTCGAAAAGTGTCCTCCTACATGTCCTCCTTTTTGATATTTGAAGACTAATCTGCAGGGCTGCGTTCCGGCACCTTTTTTTTGATGGTTTTTTCTTCAATTTTTGTATGAGCTGTGCTACTTCTGCTATTGGCTTTCAAAAGCCAATAGGAATTGCTGCTCAGCGTGCCAAAACATCCGGCCGACAAACTTTGCACATGCAAGTTGTCTGTGTCATTTTGCAATGAATAAAATGTTTCTTTTATTTACAATATTTTTTTCTTCAATTTATTTGTGTCCTCCTTTTCGTTGTAAAAAAGTTGGTCACCTTATTAATTCATATTACTTTAGGCATCACAATCATTCTAATTATCCTACAGCTGGCATTATAATTTGAGGCAGTTCTACAAATGACTTAACATTAAAATGGAAAAATAGCTGCAGCTAATAAAGGTAACCAAAAATACTCAGTAATGTATTTAAATATGACTAATATTTAAAATACCAAAACTGATGTGTATGATGCATTATGATATTGATGAGCTTTGGACCTTTCTTGACTTAACCACTGAGAAAATACAAAGCAAACACACAAATGTAAAGTATATAACCGTACATTTATAAAAGCCCTAAAGGGGAGGGGAAATAAATAATAAATATATTAAATGTCAGCCAGTGAAATTATAAATTCAACTACTTATTGTATTATTCTTATTATAAAGCAAAACATTAAAGTTTACTTATGTGGAGTATAAATCATTCAACTTCATTGTCTTAGCAATATATTGTTCCTTAAAAACCAGCAAAATTATTGCAGAAGAGTGTTATGTGCATTCCAGTAACATAGGAAAGAGTCATATCTTGAGAAAGAGGTAATTCAAAGAATGACACTTGGCTTACAGTGTTGTCACAAGTGAAATTGCCTCTTTAAATAATTTGTAGAACATCATCTCTATCTGAGAAATAAAAACATTTTATCCAATGCTCTATCTACAAAGATATTAATATAAAAGAAGGCAATCCATTAGAAAAAAATCTGATAATATAGATATATGAAAAAAGAGATTTATTTAAATATATCCTTCATTATAGAGTAATTGAAAGCTCTTTGGTGTTAATTTAGTTAATAACATATCCAATAGATATGTTCAAGTAGACATATTATAGTTAGTGGAAGCAAATGAGCTGCCCCTTCTATATTTTCTATACTTTCTAATCACCCTATTTATGGTTAAGTGCGTTAAAATAGGGAACGGCTTGAAAAAAAAAGTTCTCCACTATATTTTGGAGACATTGTAGCTCCAGAGATCAGCAAGGAAAGAGAATTAAAAAAGGCCGATTATATCCCAATTTTCTTCAATTTCATTCAAACTGAACAGAGTCCAAAGGAGAGACAGTGTGCTATGGTTCTTCCCATTCCATCTTCTGGTTATGCGCTGCAAATGGTACATTTGCCTGGGGGAGAAAAAAACCTGTAAAGGTTTGCTTTATAATGAGCAAATTGTGAAAACAATATACACTAGGAAGCAAAGACTGGGCTACAATCTTTATTTACTTTAGCTAAACTAAAGAAAACACAAATCCTATCCCTACATGATATAGTATACTAAAAAAAAAAAGGAGTATTAAGGTTGTGGGAATTCAGCCATAGAGGAGGGGAACCTTCAGTTTTTTATCATAATCTTCTAGCAACAATCTCCACTTTTAAAAATTTGCTCAGATGCTTTTGTCTTTTAAGTGAAATGACAGAATATTTGAGGATAGGCGGAAAATATTATTTTAGCTAATGGATTAGTTCTGCCCTCATTTAATGACTGTCTCCTTTAGCAACTGCTTGCAGTTACGATGGTGATGAAAAAGTAACTTTGCAACAAATCCTTATATTGATAACCTTTGCAGGTCTGTAAAGCAACAAAAGGCTGAAATAAGATTGTAAACACAGTTGCAGTTTCACTTAGTGACCACATCACTTAACAACTGAGTTGCCAGTATAAATTGTGGTTGCTAAACAATGACTGCCTGTATTTCCGAATTTCTCTGGCACAGCACCAAAAGAGGAAGAGAAGACCTAGAAGTAGTATTTCAGGAATTCATGTAGTCAGTCCAAGACAATCCAGCTTTCTTCCACTGCCTGCTGTTTGTGAATAGATGGTGTTTACATTGTGAGAATGAACTGGGTTGGAAAAATGACTCTACTGATGTCCTGGACATATAGAACCTGCCTGTATTGGCCACCAGAGGCAGGTTAACCCTAGCACGGTAAGTTTGGTTAAATCTACCAGTCTCACATCTGTCTTACCAAAGGGTTGCTGATGGGAACAGAGGTCATAGTTATCTCAGAAACAGGGGGTCTGATGTCTTTCTTGCAATAAATCCAATGCCAGTAAGCTTCTCTCACCTGAAGATCCAAAATACAAAGACACTCAGAAGAATAATCTTCAATGCAATTGCATCTGCTTTGGGGATTGATTGTAAGTATGAAAGGTGGCTTAACATTTAACACATTTAAGTAAATGTGTTCTTATTTATTACTGAATATTTCAATAACTATATTGATATTGCTTTTTCTTAAAATTCATCTTTCTCCTATTTAATCTATTTTAGCCCAACTTACAACCATAACTGGGACCTGAATTTTAGTCCTTAAACAATGTGGCAATTATGCAAGTCATCTCATGACTGGACCCAATTTTATGAACATTTTTACCATGGTCATGAAGCAATCACACAGTTGTTAAGCAAATCAGCATGATCATTAAGCAAATCTGGCTTCCCCAATTGACTTTGCATATGGGAAGCTGGCTGAGAAGGTGAACATATCACTGCAAGATGCTGCAATGATTGAAAATGTGAGCTGGTTGCCAATTTGCAATCGTGTGTCTGCAGGGATGGTGCAACAGGTATAAATTCAGGATAGTTCCTAACTCAATTTTTCCTACATTGTTGTAACTTCAAACCATCCTTAAACAAATGGTCATAAATCGAGGGCTATCTGTAGGGAGATGACATTCACCTCCTAATCATTACATTCCCCCCCCACACACACACCCTTTTTTTTTCTTCAGTGACAGAGAAACTGGTAGATGAGGACATGGACCACTTTTGTACCAGCAACTCACAAAATCCAGAAGCCAGTCTTGAAAATATGGACCATAAGACTTTCTGTTGTAATCTAACTTTCCAAATTGTGCAGTTTGTTCAAAGTGCAGACCTCTGTTCTTCTATACATCACCTTTTGGTTGAGTAAGCAGTGTACCAGGAAGATGAAGATTCCCTGTGCACTGTTGAAGATGGTGAATATGTATGCCATAACATCTTTCAAAGAGCCATATTGAAAGAGGCCAAAACACCAAGTCACACCCAGGATGAACACATGGGCTATAGCCTTAAACATCAGTGATCTACAACAACATCAAGAGGTTAACAGTCTTATACTGTGACAAACTTTATATGGTCTAGAATACTATGTAAAAAGATTTTGAAAAATATTTTTGTCAAATTGCCAGGATCAACTCCTATTTTCATATTTTATGATTGATCTTACCTGGTATTTCTGACTGTAGATGTCTGTGAATTTGGAGAGACCAGTTTTTCATGCAAAGTCTTCAGAATAAGACAGAAAAACACCAGGTTGACCTTTTTTTGGTGGGGGGGAATAAGTCTTCTCAGATAAATATGGTAACAACAATAACAAGAAGATATAGATTATGCCCTAAGGCTAGATAAGCTGAAGAAAAGAAAACTAAAGTTAGTTTGAGTTCCTATACTTTGCTAATTGATTCTTTTAAGTAAGTAGATGTTCACTTCTATTTTAATTCCAGGTGAGAAGAAACAAAAGTTTGCATCTTGATTCCAAATGTTTTTCCTCCCAGTTCATTCTTTCTTTCCCTCCCCCCAAAAGTTCTTCCTAAAATATAAAATTCCAGCCATTGGCAAAATATTGAAATTCATGAATTCCCTTTGTGCAACAGATTTTCCTACATTATTTTAAACTTTGATCTCCTAGCATCTTGTTAAGACACAAAATCAAAGAAAGATGATGTATCTGATTTCTGGTTTGCCATTGCAGCTGCTGAAGCTGCTGGAAGGCAAACTCCATCTTCCGTGTTTGGTTTCTCTCCGCTGAGAGACCTTGGAAAGAGTCGAAAATCACCCTATAGGGGCGATGAACAAGGAGGAGACCCCCGCTTGATAGTAGGAGGGTGGCAGCCCTTCCGCTTGATCTGGGGCAACCCTCCAACCGGCTGAGAAAAGACTGGACATAGCAATCTGGCTGAATGGAAGATAAACATACCAGGACAATTGTGGGGATTTGGAATAATAGGGAGACGATTTAAGGAATAAAAATGGGTTATCTCTTCCAAAAAATGGCAACTAAATGGTCTCTTTTATTCCAAACAATATGTATAATAATAGAGGGAGATCTATTTAATGATTTAAAAGCATTGACACAGAAGGCTAGTTGGCAAAGAAAGAAAATCAGAAAAAGGCTGAAGAAAATTGGGGCTTTGATTTATTAGAGGGGATTTCATACTATTAATTAGAGGACCAAAGGGAGAAGTGGAGGTAAGGGAAATTTTGATCATTAAATTTAAAATATTTGGAAATTATTCAAAAATAAGGATGCTATTTGTTTAATATTAAATACTTAACAATTAGACCTAAAAGAAAAAAATATTATGAATATGTTTATTGATTAACTCAGACAATATATATAATGGGCTTTGATTTATTAAAGGGGATACTGTATTATTAATTAGTTGGTGTAAGATGGGGGAAATAGATAACTTTTAGGAAATAGAACAAGATTATACTCAAATAGATAAGATATGTAGTTTGAATATTAGATTCTGTTATGAAATGAGATAAAGGAAACTTTGGTTACCTAAAACCTGGAAATTATAAATATCAAATGTTAAATTTGAATATTGATGAGAAACTAAAAATTGGGAAAAACTAATAACAGGACATTGATTGAATGCAAAAGTAATTAAGATATGTATAAGCTAAAAAATTATTGATAAATGTAATAATGATGTTTTTATTTAGTTGATATAATAAGAACTGTATTAGCTTAAATATGAGATAGTAGATATTAAGGGTAAAAGAGAGGAAATATTTGAGGTTGTAGTTTGAGATTTGAACTAAAAAAATTGTATGTTACTGAATTATTGATTAACCCAGCCACCATGTTGCTTATTAAATATATAAATGTAAAATTAGAAAATTAAAAAAAAATATTACAAAAAAGAGAGAAAGATGATGTATCTGTTTTAGTTACATTGATATCAGGTTCTTCTTTTTTTTCTCATCTTAGAAGAAATGTTATGAAATGAACTGAAAGGACTCTCATTTCTCTACTGTTAAAAAAAGAGAGGCAATGTTTACTCACCACAATTATCACACAGACCGGTCCTGTAAAGCTCCAGATAAAATCTGGGTTAAGCCAGCAGCTAAAGAAAAAGAAAAATCGTCAGGAGAAATTTAGACAGAAATGCAAACACTTCAATATATTACACAAAATTGCTTTCTCTAAGTAATATTAGCAATTGCGTTTCTGAAACTTCAGTGGAGGGATTCAAATAAGTGAACAATCGGTTCTCTGTGTGGATGCCACTTCCGGAAGTCCATTCTGGGCCTCGGCAAGAAAAAATTAGCTACTGGTTCTGCCAAAGTGGTGCGAACCAGCTGAATCCCACCACTGTGCAACTTACATCTTGGTGGCACCAGGCTGAAGGAAGCAGCTTTTAACCATATGCCGAGACCTACCTATAAAGTGTCCCAAAGGCTCCAGGGTTAATTGCTGCAGAAATAGCTACGATCAGGACAGGAAACCCATAACCAATGAGGGACATGCATATCTTCATATACTTGCTGGCCCCGCTGTAATTTGCAACTTTCAAGTTTCTGACAATGAGGTAGAGATTGACACCTTCCAAGAACATCCAGACAAAGCAGGCCAAAAAAAGATACTTCAGCATTCCAGCTATGACCGAACACAGGATCTGAATCAAAAACAAAATGCCATTCCTTTATCAGCATCTGATTCTTGAATTGTTGGTTTTGGAAAAAAATAAAGAAGGGCTATGAAAAAGAGAGTAATGGAACAAATTATATCTCTCTGACACTTGTGTTTGCAGAATAGAACTATAGAAAAAATCTGTGCAAAGTAACCTTTCTTTTCCTTTGATATGGAAATATTTAAAAACTAATAAAAAAGTTAAAATAATTGGGCTTGCAAAGAAAACTGATTCAAAGCACTTGATCTAACGAAAAAAGATTTTAATTGAAACTGAGTAGGAAGCATGCTTAGATGGGGTTCACTCTCCACTGAGCAAAACATCACATATTCTTCTAAAATACCTTGTTGCCTGTTTTATCTATTCCAATTATGAAGAGGAGGTCTGCAAAAAACAGACAGAAGCTCAATTGTAGGTGGATAAAGGTGCTGTTGTTGTGGCTGGAGCGGCAGAAGAGGAATGTGACAATACACAGGAAGAGGCAGATGACTGAGATGGACAACCCAAGGTAGCTAATAAGGGTGAGGATCAGATCTCCCTGGAAAGAGAAGTTCTCAACATTATACGAGCCACCTTTTGACAAGAAACTTTTCTTTACACTTCATCTAGACCATAGATCAGGCTTACATATAACAGCTATTCTATTACCTGACTGCTTTTGTTGTATTATGATTGGATATGAAGCGTCAGGATCTTTAAATCTTGAGGATTACGAGCAATTCTTAGTTTATTTTTCTCTATATGAATGGCTATGAATAATTATGGAAAACTCTGCAGCATGTTGAGTAGAGAAATGCTATTCTATCCCAGCATCGATGATAAAAATTATTATCTTCCTTGATAAGAGCAGGATACTCTTGTGGAAAACGAAAGGACTCTTACGAATTCCAGAGGGTTTTAGCAGAGATATTTATTGCACAGGTTCAGAAGCAATAGCAACTAGCAATTCTGAACCCCGAGGGCGGGTTCAGACTTCAGTTTTATACTTCCCTTTTCTCAGGAACAAAGGAATACACATTGAAATACACATTGTAATACCGTATATTCCGGTGTATAGGGCGACCCAGCGTATAAGACGACCCCCGAATCGCAAGATGATCAACACCGAGTCGCATGCCTAGAAAGTCGCCTTATACGCTGGAAACTACCAGTATTTCCGGCGTGTAAGACGATCGACACCTAGTCGCATGCCTAGAAAGTCATCTTATACGCAGGAAACTATGTTATTTCCAGTGTATAAGACGATCGACGCCGAGTTGCATGCCTAGAAAGTCGTCTTATATGCCAGAAACTATCTTATTTCCGGCGTATAAGATGACTCGGTGTATAAGACGACCCCCGAGTTCGGCGCCTGTTTCAACGCTCTCAAAAGTCGTCTTATACGCCAGAATATACGGTACATTAAGTTCGTTTCTCACGGGTATACAATGGAGAGAGTTTGCTACATACATTGTATCCAAGTGCAATGCGCATTAGATTAGTCACATGCTACTAACACAGCATTATTCCAGTAATTATGCAGACACATCATTATTCTAGTGATTGTTCATTATTCCACATTAATACAACAGACATTTAAATAAGTAGGAAAAAATATGTGCTGTTTTCCACAATAAAATTCTGAGATGTTTTCAAAAGTTACATACTTGTTTATGAACTGTGGCCATCAGTACAGCAAAACTGGAGAAATGTTGACAGCTACATTCTGTATGGGTGATGTTAGAAAAGAGCTGTTGGCAACCACGATCGGACAAAGCACCGGAGTTCAAGTGGACACAGAGAACCTTTTCCTGGGCAACTTTATTCTGCAAGAGAGAAGTAACGTTGATGGGATGTAACGAGAAAGTCTACATATTTACTTTACACTTTACTTCAGAGTTACTGAATATTAATAAGGAAGCAAGTGTAAGACAAGCAAAAGGAATAACATATACATACATCATAGACCTTACAGGCAAGCAGACATTGTAATAGTGACTCATGTTAGTCTATGGTGGCAAAAAATCAAAAAGATACTGGTAGCCCTTTTTCCAATAACAAATACTATTAAAAGACATAAGCTTTCATGAGCTGCAGCCCACAGAATCATATGCTTTTTATAAAAGGTGCTATCAGACTTCTGATTATAGAGCTCAAATGAAAATAAGATCTACTTGCTTTCTTAGTATATGTTCATAAGATGGATAGAAAAAGAAGCTTGGTTTCCGAGGTAGACTTCAGTTACATACCTTGAGATGCTGAAAAGTGAGATTGACCGGAGTAGAAATATTTCGTATCTTGCTCATGGCAGAAACGCTTACCAACCTAAAGTTCAGGAATGTTCCATTCCACAGTAAAGTCTCTCCTAGGAGTGATTCAAGCCCACCATATGATATAAAAGCCACAGCAATTAGATCTGCAAGTGGCAGAAGGAAGATCAGAGAGAAAGATAACATCAAATAAAGTATATGCATTTTCCCAAACTGGCAAAATCTTGATAATGAAAGGATCAATGTATAACCATATATTTACTTCCTGGTAAAATAGATGCTACCAACTACTTTCTTTCTTTAGGTCCATCTTTCTCAATTTAGTGTTTTACAGATGTGTTGGATTGCAACTTCCCTAATCCAAACCAGAGTGATAAAACTCTCTGCAAGTTCAAAAATCTTAGGGTTGCAGCTTACAGGGAGGGAACAATAAAGCAGATTGTAAAAGTAGCTTTGGATCTACTCTGTAGAAAAACCAAGTAAAGTATGAAAAATACCTGTGATCATGGCAGTCACTGCTCTTGGGTGGATGGCCATTTGATCTCCTTTAGCTTTTAACTTGAGTGCTTCATTCTTTTTAAAAGATTCTGGACTGATGAGTTTTGTTTGGATCTCTGGAATGACAAAGAAATGCTAAGTACCTGAATGAATCTAATGAATGCAAGTCATTTTTTTTTAACCAAAAACTGATATCAAATAAGAACCAGATGTCTTAATAGAGTGGAACAAAATTCTTAATAATAATGCTTTCTCTGAATAGATGTTCTATTCACAAAAAACATTATTTTCTCTTCGTGGAGGGAAGTGTGTAGTGGGCTGCCCCAGGGCTCTATTCTAGGCCTAGTGCTCTTCAACATCTTCATCAATGATTTGGACGAGGGGATAGATGGGGAACTCATCAAATTTGCAGACGACACCAAGCTGGCAGGAATAGCCAACACTCCAGAAGACAGGCTTAAGATACAGGAGGATCTGGACAGACTTGAACACTGGGCGCTATCTAACAAAATGAAATTCAATGGTGAAAAAAGTAAGGTTCTACATTTAGGCAAGAAAAACCAAATGTACAGGTATAGTATAGGGGGTACCTTGCTCAATAGTAATAACTGTGAGAGGGATCTCGGAGTCCTAGTGGACAATCATTTAAATATGAGCCAGCAGTGTGCTGCAGCTGCCAAAAAAGCCAACACAGTGCTAGGCTGCATTAACAGAGGGATAGAATCAAGATCACGTGAAGTATTAATACCACTTTACAATGCCTTGGTAAGGCCACACTTGGAATACTGCATCCAGTTTTGGTCACCATGATGTAAAAAAGATGTTGAGACTTTAGAAAGAGTACAGAGAAGAGCAACAAAGATGATTAGGGGACTGGAGGCTAAAACATATAAGGAATGGTTGCTGGAATTGGATATGTCTAGTTTAACGAAGAGAAGGACAAGGGGAGACATTTTAGCAGTGTTCCAATATCTCAGGGGCTGCCAGAAAGAAAAGGGAGTCAAGCTATTCTCCAAGGCGCCTGAAGGCAGGACGAGAAGCAACGGATGGAAACTGATCAAGGAGAGAAGCAACTTAGAACTAAGGAGAAACTTCCTGACAGTTAGAACAATTAACCAATGGAACAACCTGCCTCCAGAAGCGGTGAATGCTCCAACACTGGAAGTTTTTAAGAAGAGACTGAACAGCCATTTGTTTGAAATGGTGTAAGGTTCCTGCCTGGGCTCGATGACCTCCAAGGTCCCTTCCAAATTATTATTATTATCGATCATCGCACAGTCAGCCAGATGTTCAGACTGGATTTGGCATTTTGTCTACCTATTGAGTCCTTACCCAGGACCTGGGATAGGCAGATGTGGATGTTTGATGGTATTACAGATATCGTCGCAGGATGGAAGCAGTTCCTAATAAGGCCGCCTTTTGCAATTGACTAATAGCGAATTTGTCAATGCCAATGGTGTTCAAGTGGTGCTCCAGTTGTTTTGGGATTGCACCCAAGGAGCCTATGACTATTGGTACTACCCTTGCTTGCTTTTGCACAGTCTTTCTATTTCTATTTGTAGGTCTTTGTATTTTGTTATCTTCTCCAGTTCTTTCTCTTCTATTCTGCTATCTCCAGGCACTGCCACGTCCACTATCCAGACTTTTTTGTCTTTCTTATCGACAATTGTTAAGTCTGGGGTGTTATGTTGCAGGTGCTTGTCTGTTTGAATTCTGAAGTCCCAGAGCAGTTTAATTTTATCATTTTCTATGACTTTCTCTATATTATTATTATTATTATTATTATTATTATTATTATTATTATTATTATTGTTGTTGTTGTTGTTGTTGTTATTATATGCACTACTTGTGCAATCATTTAGTTTGCTTTTCTGTCATCAAGAAATAATACTAAGATTGAAATAATGAAACTGATTTAAGCTTTCTCAGTTAAGGCTTTCCACTGAAGCAGGAAAATCTTTTCCTTATGAATTTAACAAAATACTGCATCTATCTGTATTTATTATAAGATTTGAATACCTAAAATGGATCCATATATAAAAACTAGGATGGACTTGAAGTCAGTTGCGACTTTGCACTGGTTATACGTAATTCAGTTTGCAAACTACCTCTTAAATCAGTGGTTCTCAACCTTTTTAATGCCTCAACCCCTAACCGGTCGTAAGTCGAGGACTACTCAACCAGTCGTAAGTCGAGGACTACTCAACTGGTGCAGTACCATTTGCAGAATGGGACTTTTGGTGGGCTCAGCAGGGCAGAGACAGCCTGGACAATTCCTATTGGCATTTGAAAGCCAATAGAATTAGACTCTATTCAAGAGAGTCTATTCTATTGGCTTTCAAAAGCCAATAGAATAAAAGGGAGTAGCACAGCTAAGGAAAAGGGGGGAAAAAATGGTGGACTGCGTTGTTTGGCGACCCCCGTGAAATAGTCGTTCGACCCCAAATGGGGTCCTGACCCACAGGTTAAGAACCACTGTCTTAAATAGTTACACAACTTTGTAGTTGACAGAATGAGTTTTTCATATCTTTATTTGAATTTTATTTTTATATTACTGATTCCTCTATTACTTCTGTTCTTCTACTCAGTTGCTTAGCCCCTGGACAGAAGATGTTGTATCCCAGAAAAAAGCATGTATGGGGCCACTTAACAAGATTTTTTTTTCTTCTAAGATCCATAAGGTATTAATAGCAAGGAATAATTTCTCTAAAGAGCTATAAATACCAAAATAATTCATCATCAGCCTTCCAACACGTTATTTTTCTGGATCCCATGCTGATGCATAAGTCATGGGAGTCTGACCTTTTCTCATTTAATGGTTAGTTTGTGAAAAAGCATTCTTATTAACTGTATTGACTGATTTATGTTTTCTAACATACCTTTCCTGAAAGTAAAAACTTTCAATGTTTCATAGAAAGATGGAGGTAAATTTAATAAATAAAATGAATAAATTAAAAATAGCCCTGATTAATATCTACCATTATCATTAACATCTATCATTAGCCTAATATCTAGGCTAATGGAGTCACAGTTATAGTTTGCTATATAAAGCACAATAGGAAGACATGCTAAACAGCTGATGAATGAAAGGAGACTCAGAACGAAGAATTTCACTTATATCAGTAAAACATAAACCTAACCCTTTCTTTTTTTCCCCTTCAAACTGTAGTATTATCCAAGCGGTGGGGTTCTTACCCATGGAATCTTGATCCACATTCTGTGGTTCTCCGTTTGCAAGAGTTAATGATAGGACAGCTGAGCTTATTCCTTCCGTTAACAAGGAGAAAGTTGTTAAAATTTGTTTCTTTCCTTCAATACCCCAGAGGGAAGAGCTGTTAGTGATGTCTTCAAAGGAATTGACCAAGCTCTGTGGTATTACAAGAAGCAAATAGATTTCTAAACCATGCAAATCTCACTTAATTATTTTACCTAAACATTTATATAACTGCTCATCTTAATTAAACTGTGACTGGCTCACAACCTCTAAGTAAAATAATACAACCAAATAAAAATATTTAAATAAAAAAAAAACCTGGTATCACAGCGAAATATTTCAATGCAACCCACAACATACTCTTCTCATGCCAATCTCACCCTATTCCAGCATATGAGGAAGAGCCAGGTCCCATGCCATTTAGAACCTGGTCCCATGCCATTTAGAGCTTTAAAAGTTTTACCCAAACTCCTCTCAGCATATTGTAGAAAACATACAAAAGACGTCAAGTTGTATCTTATGCTATTATAGGGCCATAAGGCTGAGTTCATACATTATTCATAGTCAAAAGGTGGTTTGAATGACTGCAACATTTATGGCTTATTCCAAAAATCAAAGTCAAAACAAACCTTGGAACCGAGCCTGTTTTTATGTTTAGTGATACAAATTTCTCACCTGTTCATTTTTTTAAAATGAAAAAAATAACACAATCATCACATCTTAATAGTTGGTTTTAAAAAGAAAACTCTTAACTTCATTTTATACTCTTTCTCTGTATTTTTAACACTTGTCTATATTGGAATGCTGCCTCAATCTCTTCTCTATATATTTTTTAAAAAAATTATGGCTGATTTCTTATGAATTTTCTTTATGAATTTTTGTTGTACTATTTCTTCTAATTCTAAACAAAAAATAGCCTGTGACATCTTTAGGACAAATAAAATTAATAAACATTTTATCAGAAATTATTACAAAACCTTATGCTATAGACCAGGCATGTCAAACTGCCAGCCTGCAGGCTGGATGCATCATACTGAAACCGCGTCTACCCCATTGCCAGCAATGGGAGAAAAGTTGCGATACGTCACATGACGTCACATGACGACGCGAGTTTGACATGCCTGCTATAGACCATCTCTTAATATTAAAGACGATGTAAGTCTTTCTTGGTGTTGATGCAAAAACTAACATGGATCCCCAATACAAATGTAGTCACTGATGTTGGATAATTAATTATCCAATTCTAGTTATAAAACTCTGTATTAAACTTCATTCTATTTACCAAGATTAAATAATATTTGCTTACAAAATTTAAAAAACATAGAATAGGATGCAGAATCTAGTTTTCTTATTTGATTTCCTCCACATATTGAAAAATATCTCCTTTAGAATTATTTTCCCTTTCGTTCTCTTATGTTTATAAAGATTTTCAGATATCATTGCTACAAATTATTCTGAAGCATCATTTGAGAAGCTTATTTAAATACTTATTTGTCTACCCACCCGCTTTTCCTTAATATATACAATAGGAACCCCCAGGAAAAAAAAACTGTGCTCAACTGTGAATTCTTCAGTACTTAATAAATCTCACTTTCAATGAAGTTTCAGTAGGTGTGTCATTTGCACAGAGAGATCTCAGGTGTTTGAAGGCAAGCCCCATCACCGAGCAATATGCATCATTTTCCTAAAAGAAAAGAAAAGAAAAGTATGCGTTCTTTTCAAAGCTCAGCTGGCAAGAGGACAAAGCCCCACCCCTGCTCTTTTTTAAATGGGCAGTCATGCTGTCATAAGCTGGAAACATGATCTGGAGAAGCTTCATAGCCACAATGAGGATTATATACCAATGAATGCCCATTCATTCTTGGAATGAATTCAAAGAGATCAGTGCTACTATCTCCACCTTCTATTCAGTCTTTGTAAAGCTGAAGATCATGGTGAAGGAAAAAAAAATTAACCTGATTCACTTGTCAAACCCAATTAGAATTCATAAATTGTTTCTCAGAATATGCTTAACTCTGGGATTTTGGCCTTTTTAATCATATATTTAGCTCATAACCTGACAACTCCACAAATAATTTAGCTCTTTTTTTTTCTTCCTCAATTTCAGTTTCTCTTGTTTCCATAATTCAGTTCACAAAGTACTTTATCTTGTTTTTGAAAATAAACTTCCCAGCCGAATCACAAATTACAACTCAGATACATTCCATACCATATAAATTTCATGTAGAATCACTCTGAGGCTGAGATGGGCGGTACCTAACTTAGACAAACAGACAGACAGACAGTCAATAAAATTCCCAAGGCTTAGTCTTTACCCTCTCCTGGAAGATTAAGAAAACCATCCAATAAGCCTTTATATCATAAAAATCAAAACTCAGTTTCATTGCTTCCTAAGAAAAAAGCTTCTTTCTAGGTATTCTCAAGATTTCAAATAATAACAATTAGCAAATTAATAACAAAGACCAGATAAAATATAAAATAATACAATGCTCCCTTTCACATATTACTTCAGCTACTTCCAGTCCTTCGTTCTGTGTTCCCTGTACTATAAATTTCATTTACAAATTATACCAATTTAAGCCATACTAGTTTCCTTACTTGTTTCCGTTTATTTTCACACATTGTTAAACTGTTATTTTCCCACATTAAATCTTGTTGGCAGTAAAAGGGAACTTCTGTGAAAGAAAACAGAAAATTGCAAGTAAAATTGTCCACTTAAAAATTATAAAATATTTTGATGGCAGATAAGGATGCAGGGATATTGGGTTGAATAATAATAGTAATTGGATCAAAACTGAAAGATGTTGAATTTGGCATTCATTATTTCTAAGTAATGGATTAGGTTTTGGCATTTGTAGCACAAGCCCTAAAATAGACTTATTAATAGACTGTTAATTCTCCACATCAAATCTAGGAAAAAGAAAAACACCTTTTCAATGTGTTGAATCTTCCAACACATTGTTGACTACTTCTTGCCAAGCTAAAAAATTGGCTGACAAATCATACTCAACATGTAGTCCTCAACAGAACTACATCCACCTGGAGGGAAGTAAGCAGTGGGGTGTCCCTAGGTTCTTCAATATCTTCATAAACAATCTACATGAGGGAATAGAAGAACTCATCAAATTTGCAGCTCAAGATCCAAAAATATGTTGATAGACTTGAACACTGGGCCCTATCTAACAAAATGAAATCCAATGTAAATAAAAAGTAAGACTTTACACTTAGGCAAGAAAAACCAAATGTATAGGTACAGGCTAGGTGAAATGTAGCTTAATGCCAGTAATTGTGAAAGGGATCTTGGAGTCCCAATGGACAATCACTTAAATATGAGCCAACAGTGTGTGGCAGCAGTCAAAAAAGCCAATGCAATCCTAAGCTGCATTAATAGAGTTATAGAATCAAGATCACGGGAAGTTGTAGTACCAGTTTACAAAGTACAGTAAGACCACACTTGGAATGCTGCATCCAGTTCTGATCACCACAATATAAAAAAAAATGTTGAGACTCTGGAAAGAGTCCAGAGAAGAGCAACAAGAATGATTAGGGGGCTTGAGGCTAAAACATATGAAGAACAGTTACAGGAATTGAATATGTCTAGTCTAATGAAAAGAAGGACTAGGGGAGACATGTTGGCACTGTTCCGATATCTGAGGGGCTCCTACAAAGACAAGGGGTTCAAATTATTTTCCAAAACATCAAAAGACAAGATGAGAAACAATAGATGGAAACTAACCAAGGAAAGAAGCAACCTAGAAATTTCCTAACAGTGAGAGCAATCATCCAATGGAACAGCTTGTCTTCAGAAGCTGTGGGTGTTAACCATAGCTTTATGGATCCACATTATCTCAATAGCTGAAGTTGTAAAGAAAGGTCAAGTGTAGTAGAGAAATTAGCCTCAGCAGCTATAGCACTGGTGAAAACAAAATTAAAAAATGAAACATGGCCAACATTTAGCATCCTGCCAATATTCCATACCTGGTTGTTCTCTCTTACTTTCTCCATTGGAATCCCCAGTTCTGATTGATGTATGTAGCCCAGGAAACCACCATATTTCTGACATATGTCTTGAGGCCCTGACAGTCACTGAACAAAAGCATACATCTTTCCTTGCCTGAAGGAGAAATTACAAAAATAGCAAGTAGGTGGATGATGGTCAGTTGATCCACATGAGCATTGATCCCTCTGATTTGATTTTCAAAACTTTCCTCTAGACTAAGGCTGCAGCCACCATCACTACTGCTGTCTGGAAAGCATGTCGACAAGCCCAGAGCTGAAAGATTATGTGAGACCTCAGTTTGATTCCATCCCTCTTTGGTGTGTGTGTGTGTGTGTGTGTGTGTGTGTGTGTGTGATTTATTTATTTGCCTCTCCATCATCCTACTATGTTTCTTTGCTTCAAGAGGTTACTTAATAATGGTCCTCTTAATGCTGCTCTATATATGAAATTCAGCACTGTTTGGTTGTTCATGGTGATTGTCCAAAGTGATTTCTTAGTTATACAATTATATTGTTACTTTTAGAAAGACTCAAGTTTTGCATTTTTGTAATTTAGAGGTCAGGTTATTTTTCTCTTCTTTTCTATTGGTAGGCTATGGATTAGAAAATCCCAGAAAATCAGAAGAACAGATGGCTATGTTGCCACCATTTCTAGATATATCTGCCTTGCAGATTTATTTATGATGTTTTGGGTAAAGGAAGCATCCTGTGGCAGATGGGTAGGTGGATTTATCTGGATAATAAATATTTCTATTGACCTTTTGAGACGAAGTTTCTATAGATAAGACACTTCTCTGGATCAGTATAACAAAGTTGAAGTTTGGATGTCACTATCCTAAGTATATATTTTTTTCACAGCTGAGCTGGATGTGATCACGCTTTGTCTGCTTGTCTTCAGAAGCTGTGGGTGTTCCATCACTGGATACTTTCAAAAAGTATCATTTATCTGAAATGGTATTTGGTCTCCTGCTTGAGCAGGGGGCTGGACTAGAAGATCTCAAGGTTCCTTTCATGTTCTATGTTATTCTGTGTTCTATGTTCTTGGGTATCAGTCAGTTTTGTTGCTTGTCTTCAATGCACAACACATTGCAAATCCCACCCCATCCCCATATTTCATGTGGTTCTTGGCCATTAAAATGTTACCCATGAAAACAATGAGAATTCAGTTTGTCACTATTAACTTATACATCTGATTTAATCAAAGCTGTTTTACTACGGTTTTAAAATGGAATTGTAAACATGTATTTCAGGGTTCAGGGAGGAACAGGCATTTTGTAGTTGTTGAGACACTCATATGAGAATAATTAATACTACTTTGGGTAGTAGTAGCCATCAGAAGTTTATCAAGCACTATCAGAGGTATCTAGTTGGCCTTTGCAAGAAACAAAATGCTGAACAGCTCATAAAGGAATATTGTCAACGATCAAGACATTGGAGATGGTTGAAAAATCACAGTTCTTTTCTTTGCATTCAATTAACATTCAGTTGAAATGAGATGAAGAATAATAATACTTACTCTCATTAATAGTGACATTTGATATGGGAGAATCAGGTGAAGGAGTAAAACAAGCATCTTCATCACCGCTGCCAGAACTGCAATCATCTCCACTGTATTCTAAAAACATTAACAGGATGTTTTCAATGAGAAAAATTCAATTCAAACATTATTGTCTCTGTCCCTCTTTCCACCAGAACCATTCAGTATCAAACTTACCTCGTGCCAAGGATTTTAGAAATATACATGGAGAAAGAAGAAAAACATCTTATACTCATTGATTTGCTGTATCATTGTGGTACAAAGAACATGGTGGCTGGACTCTATCAAAGTTGACACCAGCCAGAGCATTAAAAAAATTCAAAGATTGGAAGATGTAGAGCACACGTCAAACTCGTGATGTCACATGACATCGCATGACGTTTCAGAACTTTTTCCCCATTGCCGGCAATGGGGTGGGCATGGTTTCCTCATGACGTGTCTGGCCTGGGGGCCGGCAGTTTGACACCCCTGATGTAGAGAGACCTGGCCCATAGTCTGAGAGTTGGTCTCAATTTAATGGATAACATCATCATGTGGTACCAAACACACTATCCTCAAAGTGTCTGCAGGGCAAGAAAAGAGAAAAGTGACAAAATGTGTATTGCAATATTGCAATGCCAGCTTTGTCCCTTGCATACTGGCATCAGGTACAAAAGGGTGAAGCTTGCATCATGATGACATCACATGTTATCTCATGTTGCATCATTTGATAAGAACATCTATGCCAGTCAGGTGTAGCAAAGGAAGCAAGTGACCATCATTACTGACCATTAAATGAGAGGACAACCAGTATATAATCAGGCATTGGTAGCATTGGATCGAAGGGTAGCATTGGGTGGAAGAGGAAGTAAAATCAGAACTAGGAAATAGGAACCAGTCTGCAGCCATATGTCCAAAATGCTGCTTGGTCTATCCTCAAAGAATGATCTATGCCAGGGATGTCAAACTCGCAACGTCAAGTGACATGTTGCGACATATTGCAACTTTTTTGCCATTGCCGGCAATGGGGTGGCGTGGTTTCACTATGATGCATCTGGCCCGTGGGCCGGCAGTTTGACACCCCTGATCTATGCCAAATGACTTGGATTCAGAAATGGAAGACAGATGTGACTTACAAGCTGCCCACTTGTGACTTAGCAAGATGTTTAAATTCAGACTGTATTTTAGATATGCAAGATAGAGAACTGGGGATGGGGGAACATAGATTTACAGGGTACTATGCCAACTTTACTCTGGCTTTGTCCGCATTTTGAAGAAGATGCTGATTTTTGTGAAGACTCAGTAGACAATGAAATCCTCAAATACTGAGTTAAATATTCGTGCCTGCATTACTTGTGCAACATGCACTGTGGTTATTCATCTGTTCATTTTATGTAGCTATGGATTACAAATGCTAATGATGCTGAAATGATATAAAATACACCTTGAAATTTCCTATAGATTTTTTTTTGTCTCCATGTCTGATCCTCATAATCTGCTTCTATAGAAAACAATTCCTAGTAATTTGAGTACATTCAATCAAAATCATTGGCCTTTCCTTACACATTTAGGAGTAATACCAGCATTAGTGATCTGCACTTTACACAACCATAGGGGACAAAGGCAGGAAAGAAATGGAAAGGAACTTTCTTTGTCAAAGGACTTCAGTGTTGCCTGATTCTAGTTGAGAAATGTATGGAAGTTCCATCAGAATTTCTGTGATGACCTTAAGAATTAGGAAATTACGCTATCCAGTTAAGTCTTATAGGTAAACACCACAATGGAACTGAACTTCATTGCAAAAAAGACAAAGATTAGTGGACCTTCAAAACACAGCTCAGCCAGTGTTTAATAGTACCTCATTATTCTATTTCCCCCCCCCCTCAAATAATATAAGTTCTACCTTTTTCATCTACACAGACTATTGCCAATCTGATACCTAGAAGAAATGAAATATTAAATTTATAATAAATAGGATATCTTCAAAATATAAGGTAGGATCTCTAGATTTCTTGTATTTATACCAGATGGCTTTTTCATAAACTTGATTTGCAATTCCATCTTTTTCATGACTTAATTCAAGCATTAATTGTCATTGCTACACCAGAGAAATATCTACTATTTCCACTGGAAATAGGATTGTTATAATCTTAGGCAAACTGATTTATGGAGTAAATCATTGTGTCAGAATAAAAAGACTCTGATTGTACACCCCAAATCATATCAGTAATAAAACATACTGATTTCTTATATATATAGTAAATTCTCCTTTAAGAATTAGAAGGTTTCAAATAATAGACACGAGAGAATGTGACAGAATTCTCCTGCTTGCCATACAATTCATTGTATTTCTAGGGCTCTTGCAAAATACTTCTAAAACACATTAATTGCTGAGACCTGAATGCACCCTTTGGCTACATTCCAAAACTGAATGTTGACAGAGCCTGAATTTTCATATAAGAGTTTAAGAATCAATTCTAGGCAGAACTGCAGATATTCTAAACTTACATAATGTAAAAATAACTGACTCACCCGTTATTCTGCATCTGATTCTCAAACATAAAGCTAGACTATCATATTTTATACATCAAATGTGACCAACACAACAGAGTATCAGAATTTTATTTGGGAACTTTAAAGATAATATGTTTCTCCTTTCTGTCTCCCTATACTTTTTGTTGCTCCATTTCCCTCTTTATCCTTTCTTCTATGTTCTCTAACAAAGAGAATACATTTCGTAGGAGCCATTTGACTGTTAGCCAACAGAAGCCTTATGATCATGGTCTATCTGCCTTTCTAAGACATCTTACCTACTTTGGTAGCAATTTTCAAAGATCTGAGACAGAAAATCATTCTGCCATTTGTGCCTTTTAACTAGATAGAGGCTGGGATTTTCTACCTGTGATATATCTTTTCTAACACCAAGCTATTGTTTCTCACTGTCCTTAGGTTTGTTAACCAGGGAATTTTCTACTCACCAAGAATAAGGAAACTGAAAATGCTCCTCATCATCTGCTTGAATGTGTGAACAAATGACTTATTTTATGTCATTCACCAGAATTAAAGCGTAAGGGAACTACAAATTCTAGGAACACAATATTTTGATAATGTGTACTTCCTAAAATGAGAGGAGGAGGAGTACCATTGACCAAAGGAAGTAGCTTTCTTATTCAACAGAATGTGTTAGAGTCCTATCCACAGACATTGAAAGAGTCCTGTCCACAGACATTTGAAATTATATAGCTCTAACTAATCCAGAATTGTCTATGCTGTGTATGAGTGTCACTCAAATATTTTTTTTAAAAAAAGAAAATACACCAGTATGTTTCGAATGATTTCCCTTGTGGCCTAGCAGAATATCTTACAAAAGGAAGAAGAATAAAAAACAGAACAGAAAACATTAAAAAATGAAGAAATGGCTTCCTATTTTCCTCTTAGCAGTTATACATACAATTCTATTCAATCTTCTCTAAGATTCACACTATAATTCCCTTCTTTCTTTAGCCTATACTATGTTTCTCCAAAAATAAGACCCACCCTGAAAATAAGCCCTAGCTTGATCTTTTGGGGTGGGCCTAATATAAGCCCTACCCCCAAAAATAAGCCTGAGGGGTGGGCGAGGCTAGCCCAAGTGGCAGCAAGTGAGCAGGGGCCACTGGCTCCTTGGTGCAGGGCAAGTAAGTCTGAGCGTGGAGGTAGAGGCAGGGGAGGCAGGCGATCTGGATGCGCCATGCACTTTTCACCCAGAGGGAGACTGGAAGCTTCATCTGCTTGCGAATGGGGCACTTAAAAATTGAGCGATTCGCTCCATCTTCAAGCGCCCCATTTGCAAGCAGACAAAGCTTCCACTCTCCCTCTGGGTGAAAAGTGTTTGGGTGCCTATAGAGTGCTTGGGGCAACTCCATCCCCTCTCCCACCTGCTTCACTTCATAGTGGTGGCACAACTCAGCCTCCTACTGCGAGCATCCACAAGCGTCTACAGAAGTGGGCCAGTGGCAGCGCAGGCTCCTGCTGGATGGGGCTGTTGGTGCCACCACCGTGAGGTAAGGCAGATATCAGGAAAAAAATAAGACATCCCCCCAAAATAAGACCTACTGCCTCTTTTGGAGGCAAAAAATAATAATGGGTCATTCCATGTCAAGTGGTCTGATTTCAGAAAAGTGGCAATTCATACGAACGGACTTTGGCTTGGGAGCCATATAAGATACCCATTTTAGGCTTGGGAACTGAGGATAAGCTGCCCAATAGTCATCTTGGGAACCGGACAGATACCCACACAAGGCTTTGGAACCTCGAGGAAGAAACCAAACTACAGGCTTGGGATCCTGAATCAAGAAACCCACCCATGGCTGGTGTTGCACCGCTATTGGGCATGCCCCCTATGGCGATGGGGTTGCTGGTTCAAGTGCCTGAACTGGTAGTGACAATGTCACCATGGACCAATGCAATATAATAGTAGTAATGATGTCTATATAAAACAAATAAGACAAAAAAATAATAGAATACATGTGCCATAGCAATGTCCTCAACTTTGTCCCTATTTTTAGGGCTTTATATGTCAGCGATGAAAAACCAACCCTACTTTTTTAGGGGGTTGAAACATGCTCTTTCTAATGAGAATGATTTAACAGAGTTCCCAGAAGGGTTTTTTTTTTGTAAAAGCAGACTGAAAATACCCTATTTTGGTGTTTTTACAAAAAATGTCAACTTTACACTCAATTTGTAAACTATTGGAAAGCAGTAGGAGAATGAAATTTTATATTTGAAAACCTTGTGTTGCTAAGTTATTACGTGCAAAGTTTCATGTTTATCATACCTTTCCTTCCAGAGATATAAAAAGCCAAACTTTAAACTTTTTTTTGAGCTGCAATATTTTTGGCCAACTTTGCTCCAAACTATCTAGATGGAGATTGCTCATGAGAATGTGTTTATTATTTTGTTTAATAGAGCACAAAAAGTTGTACAAGATGGCCAAGTTTTGTTTCTCTCAACAAAATATTGCTGGAGATATTATGTCTCAAAGTTGCTGGAATCTCAGAATCATACTGTAGAAGGCTGCGGTATGGGGTCAAACAAATGTCTATATCTCCACATGTATTGCATCAGTAAATGTAACACTTTACCAATGTTCATTGGGGACACGTGTGCATGTTCACACAAAATTTCCTCAAAATCCGTGATGGTCAAGCAGGGACCCCCAGACCACTTGACATGGAATGACCCTAATATAAGAGTAGGTCTTATTTTCGGGAAACACAGTAAGATATAGCTTCATAGCAACCAAAGTATCCAGCATTTTTCATTTTTGTAAATATAGGTTACCTCTATCCCATAGAGTTTTCTGTGAAATCATTTTTAGCATAGTCTTCTTTTAAAATACTACTCTCCAAGAACCTCTGTAGAAAAAATCAACTATAATGTATGCAGAATACAGTTCAGTAAATACAGTTATATAGAGAGCTATGCAGAACTATAACTGTACTGAATAATCTATAGAGCATAATTGCTACTTAGAGAACCTTGCAAGCAAGGAAAAAAGATTCTTAAGAGTTACGTTTATAAGACTATGGACTATGTCCAAGTTATCCCTTATTGTTTATGCATATTTCTTGGCTTAGGTTTATGGGAAGATTATTCCAACAATGATAAATACTACTTCAGCTGCAATTAGCACTGTCTGCTATTATGCTATTTATTTTTGGATGAGGTGGGGACAAGGTTTACATGACATGTCACCTGTGGTTCATTAAAAAAACCTATTTAATGAACACAGTTATGTGCATATCGCATGAAAACACAAATGTAGGCAAGAACAAACATCACCTTTAAAATAAAAATTAAAAAATCCTTGGTTTTAGTCCTTTTGGATTAATATAGAAAGTTGTCAATTAAAACCTGCATAATAGTTGTTATTAATCATATTTTGTCCTAGGCTAACTTGTTTTCCAAATGCTTTTTAAAAAAAAAAATCAATAGGAGTATCATTTTACCATTCTCTCAGTTACCTGAGGCAGAAGAGTTTCAACCCCAGCTATATTTGGTTTTACAGCATACTCTCTCCATGTTGCAGAAACTATCCAAAAGCAGGATAAACACTGACTCAGTTGAATGGCTGTTTCTTTCATTGCAAAACAGTCAATGAATTAATGAGCTGTAGCTCATTAATAAGTCTGTAACAAACTGAAGGGCACTGTCTAAGTGACATAACATTGTTCCCTGAAGAAATCTGGAAAATTTGATTATAATTATAGTAACAGATCAGCAGGATTACTAGGAAGTATTTAATTTTCCATCAATAAACAGTAGACCATATCTGAAGACATATTTAATTGAAGAAATAGTTGGGATTAGAAAAAGGATCTCATAACTGATTTATACATTGAACGCCTTGCAAATGAGAAACTTTCCAAAAGGCTTTAACAGATTGTCAATTAATATAGAAATTAAGCATTATAATGTGAATAGCATAGCCATTTATATAACATAAACAATGTACTCCCCTTTTTATTAGCACCATATTAAGAAACCGACTTACTAAATGGATCATCTGATTCTGCTTTTTATGAAACTAGAAAACTAAAAATTAATAGCTACCTATGGGCCTTTGGCAAAACTCTTTTACTTTACTGAACCTGTATAAGTTGGAATTCTCACACTGTATTAAACCATAGTTTTCTGAAGAAAGCATAATTCATATTATTGGGCATGGCTAGTCTAGTGAAGAAAAGGACCAGGGATACATGATAGCACTGTTCCAATATCTGAAGAGCTGTCACAAAGAGGGGGGACCAACCTATTTTCCAAAGCACCTGAACATCAGACAAGAAATAACAAATGGAAATTGATCAAGGAGAGAGTCGATCTAGAAATAAGATAAATTTTCTGACAGTGAGAACAATGGAACAGATTGCTTTCAGAAATTGTGGGAGCTTCACCACTGGAAACTTTCATAAAGAGACTGGACTGTCATCTGTCAGAAATGGTGTAGGGTCTCCTGCTTGGGCGGGGAGTTGGACTAGATCAGGGGTCCCCAACCCCCGGTCCATAGATACCAGTACCAGGTCACAGCATGCCAGCAACTGGGCAAACAAGCAAAGCCCCATCCACAGGATGCAGGCAGCCACAAAACCATGCTCCTTCCAGTCCACGTAAAAACCTCTCTCCATGGAACCAGTCCCTGGTGCCCAAAAGGTTGGGGACCTCTGGACTATATGACCTACAGGTCCCTTCCAACTCTGTTATTCTATTCCATTCCATTCCATTCCATTCCACTCCACTCCACTCCACTCCACTCCACTCCACTCCACTCCACTCCATTCCATTCCATTCCATTCCATTCTATTCTATTCTATTCTATTCTATTCTATTCTATTCTATATGTTAATCATAAATCATAGTTTACTAATCACATGGCTGCATTCAGACAATATGGTATTCCAATACAACAAACTATATTGTAGGTTAGCATAACATGTGAACCAGTGTGGGAGTAAACACATGGATCTGCTGTATATTGCTATTTTCTGTAAGGTTATAACATTTGGTGTAATGGTTAGAGTTGCTGGAAACTGTGAGTTTCAATCCTGCCTTTAGTATGGTAGCCTGCTGACTGATTTTGGGTCAGTCTCCCACTGTTGGCACTAGGAAGAAGGCAATGGTAAAGCTTGATGTAGTGGTTAAGATTTTGATCCATAAACCAGGAGGTTGTGACCTCTAGTCCCACTTTAGGCATGAAAAGCCAGATGGAGACTTTAGCCAGTCAGTCCAATTTACCTCATAGG